GTTAAAGGCAGTTGGCACGATGGTTTCCTACTTAGCCTAAAATGCTAGTAGGGCGCTGTATAGTGGGGAAATGGCGAAAGAACGGAGTGAAACGGTCAAAATCCGGCGAAGAAAAAGCCTCCGTTCTCAGTGACTTGTAAATCGATTTCGGACGAGTTTCCCGTACGCATCTTGCCAATCACCGCCTACCGAGTACCGCGAATGCATGTGTACCCGTATATGCATGCAGCATCACCGGCCGCTTCATACCAATCCCTTTGCTTTATAATTTGCTCAGCAAATGAATGAATACGAGCGTCAGAAACGGTCGTCCGTTTGTGGGCGGGCGGGCAAGGAAGGCGTTTGGGACGTAAAGTTGTTGCTCAATAGGGCGTTGTAGAGGTACCCTCCCCCCCTGGGAAAGGCTTCACGCAGCGCCTGTCCGAGGTCACGGAATTCTGTTAAGCCAGTTGTACAAATCCTACACCTGTATAACGATTTATCGTGCCAACTGCCTTTAAGTAGACTGAGGCCTTTCATAGACGTAGGGGTTCTTTAAACCCAACCCACTTATTCTCTCCTTAAAACATCACTGACAAAAAAAATAATAAGAAATTTAGAAAAAAACTAAAGCAGTCAAGACCCGAAGCTTCCCTCCGTACCTCCTTGGTCATCCCGAGCCTGAAGTTTCTTCCTTCCAACACACGACGAGAGTGATTCAACTTCTTTTTTCAGTGGCTGCTTGCTAGGTTTTGCTAAAAAAGCTCTTTTAGCTTTGGTTCATGCTAATCTCACCCCTTTTCAGGCGATGTCGTTCGACTTAGAGAGCTGTGAGCTCTCCTCGTCATCATGCTCAATTGACGATAAACTACCATCCACCAACAATCTGATACGAGGCAAAGAAGGACAATACGCAGTTGGTCGAAAACTTGCTCAAGGTCGCTATGGTGCTGTTTACGAGGTGAAGCTCGCTCATAATGAATTTTTGAATTCAATATTTAATGCTGCATCTTGGTCGCCTATTCATCCAGAAGCACAGGTTTGGTGATAATTATGAACACACGCAAAATAGCCGTCCATTCATGGGAGCCCCTTTTGCGGGACTTCTTGGTTATAAGTAAAAAAAAACATGCACGAACATATAACTTGTGTTAATGTTCGAGGTTGTTTCGTGGTGCTTCGATGCAAACTTGAAATGTTTGTCAACCGAGGATAGTCCGAGTACTGTTCCTCCCAGCCTAGCTTTGGGCGCCACATTCAACTGAACTATCCACGGTTAAAAAAACAACAAAACGAACAAAAAAAAAAAACAACACAAAAAAAAAAAAAAAAAAAAAAAAAAAAAAAAAAAAAAAAAAAAAAAAAAAAAAAAAAAAAAAAAAAAAAAAAAAAAAAAAAAAAAAAAAAAAAAAAAAAAAAAAAAAAAAAAAAAAAAAAAAAAAAAAAAAAAAAAAAAAAAAAAAAAACAAACAAAGATCTTAGGCGATTCGGAGACATACTTATCGCCACTCTGTACTCGCCATGATTGAAACTTCACAACTACACAATACTCATTTTTGAAAAGCAACGATCTTGCATGAAAGCTGAAGCTATTACCCTTCAAAGATGCGCTATATAAGCAAGTTCAGGGTTTGAATTCGTGCTCTCATAAAGACACATGGTACGCTCAAACACAAATTGAGGGTGTATGAGACTATCAGCCCCCAGCTGTCGATGTGTCGTGGTCCCCCCGCCCAAAACTGCACGGGTCAGAGTACGGGGCCGTGGGAAAGTCGTAATTCCTTGCTACACCGCCAGTTTCGCAAACTCACGTTTTTACTAACACCGTCCGCGCGTCGCGTGCAGCTCTCTTGGCTTTTTGCCAAGTCCTGTAATTGCGCTTTGGAATACAAGTAAACGCAATTTCTTTATGCGGATAACATTTTAGGTGCTGCAAAATAAGAGCGAAGATGATGACGAGGGCCTAGAACTCAAAGAGGCAATCTGTGCTGCTTCTGCAACAGCCCTCACAGGCCGCGCATTCCCACAAAACATCAAGATAAAAACGGCCTAAGCGTCCCACTCGTCAGTTTGAAGTATTTCTATAACATTAGAGCTTTCGACCACGATCCATGCACACGCGATTTTAATTAATTTGCGTTTCCTTAGTTTTTTCAATTTTGTTTTATTTACATCTACATTCGTTGTTGTTCATTTCTAGCCTTTGTCATCTTCATCACCTTCTATTCGACTTTAAAGCATGAGCAATACCTCAAATGTTAGGAGATTGCGTTTTGCTTGTATTGCCATGTTTTGTTCTCATGTTGTCCGTTTTTACTGTCATGTACTGTGGGATTGCGCGGCCTCTGAGGGCTGTTGCAGAAGCAGCACAGTTGCTCTTGAGTTCTAGCCCTCGTCATCATCTTCGTTCTTATTTTGCAGCACCTAAAATGTTATCCGCATAAAGAAATTGCGTTGTACTTGTATTCCAAAGCGCAATTACAGGACTTGGCAAAAAGCCAAGAGAGCTGCACGCGACCGCGCCGCGCGGACGGTGTTAGTAAAAACGTGAGTTTGCGAAACGGGCGGTGTAGCAAGGAATTACGACTTTCCCACGGCCCCGTACTCTGACCCCGTGCAGTTTTGGGCGGGGGACCACGACACATCGACGCTGGGGCTGATGTCTCATACACCCCTTGTGTGTTGGGCGTCCAATGTGTCTAAACGACCAGTCGGGCTGCTCCACAAGGTTTGTGGGCCACTAAAGTTAAGCAGTCGTTTTTGCTATGGTCGCTTTCCCGGTGTATTTTTTAGTTTATATGGGCACACCAACAAAAAAAAAATAAAACTAGAGTGTATGGAAATAAAAATAAAATAAAAATAGTTTCAAACGTCCTGCAAATAAATATGGCGGCAGATGAACAATTTCTAGAGAGGGAAGCGAAGGTTTCGCCTTCAAGAGACTGAAGCCATTGCATGCGAGGGCCAAACCCGGCCGAACGTAAAGCCTCTAACAAAACCCTGCAGTGGTTCACCTAGGGGGACTCAGACATCCCTGCAGAATCTCAGACCTCGCACTTTTCGCCTTGCATGGAACTTTTTATCAGCTAACCACGAGTCTGTTTACCAGTATTTCAGGTTTTACGTAAATCCGATGGAAGGCCATTCGCATGCAAACTCGAAATATGCGGTGCAAACTCTCATGGCTTGGATATGGACTATGTGGTGATGAGTCAAGCAGCTAAACGAGGTTTGGTTTTTTTTGTTATTCGTACCTGCTGGGTTGGAAGTGCTTCTCAACAAAATCATGTCAGAAAATTGTGAAAAAAATAGTCAAGTAGAAGTAGATTTCTTCAACGCAAGTCTGTTGGAGCGCATAAACTATGCCGATTGGTGGGAGCTGACTGATGGAAACGGTATGATACAGTATTCTAGCTTCCCAAAAAAAAAGAAAGAGGCTGACGTTGCGCCAGACCCATTCCCCTGACATGCCCCATCATCTGCTACGAACGAGACTATACCATCTTGCCGCAGACGAGAGAGTATGCAAAGAGACCTAAATCGCAGCAGGGTAGCCCTCCCACCTGCCATGGGAGCTCAGGATAATATCAACTGGAGAAAAGCACTATTCTTCTTACCTCCATCCCCCTTAGACGTCCTCTCGTTCACCCGGATAATGACCGCAGAACTAGGCGACTCTGAACCTGGAGGTCGGAGGGGTCCAGCCTCCAGCCTCCAAGGCAGGGGTAGAGTAAATGAGGGTATGCGCTGAGCAACGAATATTCCTAATCACCGTAGTATGCCCCGTGCAATCGATCATCAGTCAATATAATCAACAGTCAGAAATATTGGTCAACACCATTGATCATTCATCGATCCATGAGCGTGAATCAATATACAAATGGAACAAACTAACACAGGTCTTTTGCAGGGTGCAATCATTTAGTGAAGTCAATCGATCGTGGAAAAATAGAGGACCATTTCAAGTTTCTCATAATGCCATTGGTACGATTCTATTTCTCGATTACCTGCGTTTCAGTTTGGTCAGGGAAAAATTAGTAATTGTCGGTCTCACTATTTTTTCCAGCTTGGTGACAATCTCACGAAAATTCGACATCAATTTGTTGATGGTCGTTTGTCACTTTCCACCGGCCTGCGCCTCGCTCTTCTGGCTTTGTCTCCTATACAGGAACTGCATACAATTGGTTTCGTTCACAGGGATATCAAGGTATTAATAAAAAAGGATAAAGTCTTCGCCGTTGATCAATCCCTTTGTGGGATGCGGCACGCATTCTACTTCCATTCAGAATCGTAGTGGCTTATTGAAT